TAATTGAACTCTCAACTTAAACTATTTTACGTGCATAATATGTATGTATGTGTGTGTTTATGTATTATGTGCATATATATATATATATGTATATTTTTATATGTATACATTTTTATTTTTTTATACGTATATCGTTTAATTATATAGNCGTGCATAATATGTATGTATGTGTGTGTTTATGTATTATGTGCATATATATATATATATTTTTATATGTATACATTTTTATTTTTTTATACGTATATCGTTTAATTATATAGATAGATAATATAAAAGATCGTGTTAATACATTGCTAATTGATTAATCTACGAATCTATCTATTATTAATTTCCATTTTAGAAGATTACTCAGTAAATAAAAATTGGAAAACGATCGTTTAATCCCTTTGCTCGGGGCAATGTATAATATATCATAGTAAGATAAGAAGAATTAATCGATTAGAAAAATAAGAAAAGAAGGATAAGATTGTGATAAAATTCACAATTTTCACGAGTATCGCAATTATACTATATATATATATATATGTACAATCTACTTATTACTTCATAAAAAAATATATCTTTCCCTTATTACGAACTATCAATTACGTTTTCAGAGGGGGTGGAGGAAAAAAAAGAACAAAAATTATATTAATTGCGATTATTTGAACAACGTTGGTTCAAAAACGAACTGGAAAATTTCTAACGAAGAGTTCACGGTTAGCAATTCTGCTAAAATCGAGGGGGGGGGGGAAAAAAACACATATTAATATAACGGGAAGAAAAAGATCAGCTTTTAACAAATGATAATGTAGTAAACAAAATGAAGTAACGTAATCTCAAATAATACTTGATTTATCATCAAATCTACAAATTGATTAAACTCTAGGGACGATTGAAAATATATATATATATGTGTGTGTGTGTGTGTGTATATATAGAATAAAGATCCATTTTCAAATAAAACAATATTTAACATTAACGGAACGAAAAAAAGAAGATCCGTTGTACGCGTTAACCCAATTTACATCAAGTTCGTTCTCAGGGAAACTAGCGCCGCTGATGATCGATCAGCGAGCGAGAACACGCCAACTTATCGATCATTTTTTCGCTCCATCGCGAAAGTTAATCTGAACGCAAGGAATACAACAAGGACTAATACGACGAAGCGAAAGTGTTCGCATTTTTCGACGAGAATTCATTTTAACGAATCTAGCAAACTGGACAGCCACGTGAGACGGCATAATAAGAATTTTTTAAGGAACCGTGCGGATTCAAAAAATTGGGACGAATAAACCATCACAGTTAGGAAATCGGTTATCGAGCTATCGAGAAACATTCTTCGATCGATCGCTCTTCGATGATCTCTTTCGAGGAATTGCTTTCGTGTTGCCTGATTATATTCGATTATTAATTTAAAAACACGCGACGAAGTAAATTTAACATAAATAATAATTTAATTTAAATAAAATGATAAAATGAGAACGGAATTGTTGTTTGACAAGGGAAGCATGAATTTCCAATGTCGATACACCCCATTGTCTAATCCTTAATAAAAGAAACTCGTCGAACGTTGAATAAAATATGAACCCTGTACGAAGATATATATACTTAAATTTCTATAGTATTCTAAATTTCTATTGAATAAATATACTATGGAAATTTTAGTATCATTTTGTTGCGATAACTATCTAAAATCAAGCATCCGTTATATCCAGAAGGACGATTGTAAAAATTGTTTGAAAATTTTGTTACAAACTATATATATGTATATATACTTTTTAAAGAGAAGCAAAATTACGTTAACATTCTATCAGGAATCAGGATATTGTTACTCATCGAGGAAATTTCTAGAAAGATTAATTACTCTCTTTCTTCGATTGTCAAAATATCTCGAAAATATTTTTACTCGATTCTTTTCTTTCTTTTTTTTTCTTTTCTTTTTGATATGACGTATTTAAGCGATACACAAAATTTGTATCATAACGATATTTCTTCTACGTGAAAAATTTGACTTGGAAGAATTAATTAATCTAATGTCATGGTCTCGATCGTTTTCATATCATCGCTTATCACCGCTCACTTCGTGCTCGAACGAACGATTCCTCGTCATTTTTAACTAATTCTAAAATTTCTCTACCGAACAATTTCTTCCCTCCTCTCTCGATCGAATTTCGAAATTGTTCAAAACCATTTTCTCATCGTTCCTTTTTCCTTTTCCTTTGTTTTACTTCGTCTCGATTTCAAAATCGTTTAAAACGTGGGAAAATGGCGAAAATCCTAGTCTAAAGATCGGTAACAGGTCCAGAGAGTTTGATACCACTGTCGATCATCGACATCCATTCGGGAACCTTCTCCCTGAATGCCGTCACCCCGTTGTCCTCATCCACGTTACCATCCTCCTCCTCTTCGTCCTCCACTCCTCCGCGATCCCTCCTCTTCTCCCCATCGTCGCCCTCCTCCTCCTCCCCCTCTTCGTCCCCCCCGGACGAGGAGGAGACGTTCCTTGCACGTTTCACGTTAGCCATGCCCGAAACGGCTTCCTGGTCGGTGGCACCGATCATCTTATTATGCAGAATGTCCAGCAGCTTCTCCAGTCTGACAAATGACGAGTCAAGTCACGTTACATGCCTTCGCTCCCCCATCCTCCATCTACTCGGCCCAAACAAATCTCTGTAATGCTCTCTTTAGAAGCGGCAAAAGCAACAGTGAGATCAGCTGAAAGCCATGCTGCCGGCTAGAAGAACAGAAAAAAAAAAAAAAAAAAAGTACACGCGACCAAAGCCGATCACTCGCGAGTCCACCCTCCTTCGGCGGTTGGTCTTGCGTGGGCTACGTCTACTACCGAGACAGGGCTACCACTGTACAACGGGGCTACTGTGCGGAACAAAAGTGGAAAGAATATAAAAAAAAATAAAAAAAAGAAAAAAGAAAAAAAGACTCCAAGATGTAGAGACGCCATTCGTTCGTTCGTTCGTTCGTTCGTTCGTTCGTTCGTTCGTGAACTCTGACGCGGAGGAGGACAAATAAATTGCGATTCGAAAAATCAAGCGTGTCGGTACTGAAAAAAAGCCTCGCGTGTTGGCACATTTTTTAAACGCGCTATCGTTGCACAAGGGGATTGCATCGATGATCCTTACGTGATCCCCGTTTGCCGAACGAATCAAAACTAGAAAATTTTCGAAAGATTTTTCCATGCGATTTCTCTTTTTTTTTTTTTTTTTTCGTGACAGGAAATAAATCAAAAATATAAACTGTAGAATCCCCCCCTCCTCCGTATTATACACGTATGCGTATATGAAATAGAGACTAGCAGTATCGACGTCAAAAGGGGGAGGAGGGGTTGATTTTTTCGATTATTCGAAATACTTCTCGGATCATTCGAACGATATGTATATATATACACGCGGGAAAATATACGGAATCGGGGTTTTTAAAGTATTAAGAAAGTTCCTTTCGAATTTAGCAGGATCGTTCCTTGTCGGTGGCGTTAAACGCGTTTGCCAGCGACAAACAGCCGACCTCTGCAACTGTTTAAACAACGAATTAATTTGTTGTTTGCCGTTGTTGACGGGGATTCTACGGCGGCTGTTTGTCGTGGAAATTGTAGAAGAAAGAAAATATCAATTTTGTGCGCGCCCGCGCAAACACGCAACGCGAGCGCCGGCTTGAAAACATTAAATTAATATAATATTTGATCATTTATTAAATTGCCGTGTACAAACTCCATACATCGAAACGGGAGGAGGGGGAGAGCGAGTGAAATAGAGAGAGAGAGAGAGATATATATATATATAGAGATATATAGAGAGAGAAAGAGAGAGAGAGAGAGAGAATGGGTAAAAGGAAGGGAAAAATGGAGAAACGTGTATCTGTGGCGGCCGTTATTTCCACCGAACGAACGGATCGAAAGATAAAAATTGACTTTGCTTGTTTAAACTGTACACACCGGGACATTTTTATGATGTTTGAGCGAAACGGTGGAATACAACGAGTATAATCGATAATGATACGTTGATTCTTTCGATCTCATCCTCGAATCTATCGGAGGGGGGAGGAGGGAAAAAAAAATCCGTTTTATTTTTTTTTCCCCCTCCCTTCTTTTTTTTCTTTTTTTCTTTTTTTAATTTTTATTCTCTTTTCGAACAGGGGGATGCGAGGTAACACGTTGATCTGAACTGACGATCTTTTAGAAATGTAACGAGGAAATTGACATTGGCGATTTGTCGAAGAGATTGGGAAAAAAGATGTTGCGTACTCTTGTCTCTTAGTCAGTCCTTCTTTTTGTCGTCCAATTGTTGTTACAATTAAAAGAAACAAACGTTTCTTCGAAATAATATATATATATATATACGTATATGTTAATAAACGTAAACGAGATTAACTTATTTAGAGGGAAATAAATATAAAAGTAAAAATTTTTGATTTTTCGTCGAATAAAAAATTCTTAACGTCGATTTAAAAAACAAGAGGATAAAATTTGTGAGAAAAAAATTGAATCAAAAGGATAAAAAATCGTTAAAGGAAAAACATCATGAATATAAAAATACACGCATCGAGTAAAAATTTTCGAGCCACGATAATTAAAAATAAAATTCGGAAATTAAACGCATGCTCGTGTAACAAGCTCAAAAGCCATGCCAACGTGGACATAATTTACACTATTACCTACTTACCATATAATTAACTAATTACAACTAATTACAACAACAACGAAGTGAAACCGAAAGAACTCCCAAGTTCTTAAAAAAAAAACAAAAAAAATACTATACACATTTCTCAACAATTTTGCTTAACAACGAACATTTTAAACATCGAACTTAATCCGCTTCTTTCGTTGTCACTTCAAACACCGATAGAAAAACTTACTTCTAAAAAAAAAGAAAAAAAAAGAAGTAAAAAAAAACAAAAAACGAAGGAGACAAAACTACGAAAATGGATAAATAATAACGTAGAGAGAGAGAGAGAGAGAGAGAGATACCTTTGACAGAGATCTCTTCCGAAAGAAACGCAAAATACCAACTCTCTTCCACGCACGTTACAAATACTTTGAAAAAAGAAGAAGATAGAAAAAAAAAAAAATTTTCGCGCGAAAATTTAAACTACTTGGCTCGCGTAATTCGAAGATGGCGAGCCAAGGGGAATAAATCGGAGCGGAATTGGAAGCGCGATCCGCTCCGAGGCAAGGAAGAGACGTAACACGAAATGGAAAGATAAGAAAGAGAGACAAAGATAGATAGAGAGAGAGAAGAGAAAGAGTGAAACAACGATAGACCTACGTGCTATTCGACATGTACATAGTAGTAGCCTCTAGCAAGCCCTTGAAGCCCCCCTTGCTCAACGGCGATCGTTGGTTCGCGTTTGATTGGCAGGGGCCCCGCGCGTACGTAGCCTAAATGTAGGCGGTGGTGTAGGTAGCGCGTGAAGGTGCTGTCAGGACTCTGGAGGTCAGGATTCCCGTCGAGCAGAGATCTTTCGGCACGAAGGAGCCACCACCGACTACGCTCACTTCCGGGATCTCGGTGATGGCTCGGCTCGTTTCGTCGTCGTCGACGTCGTCGTCGCCGCCATCGAGAACACGATCTTCGTCCTTGCTCACCCTTCTCCTCGCGTCTCTCCCCCCCATCTCGCTCCTCTCCGCCACCTTGTCCGCCTCGCTCAACGACCTCCTCGACACCAAGCTACCCCTCTTCTTCCTTCCCGACTTCTTCGATCCCGCTCGCTGCTGATACTGCTGTTGCTGATGATGCTGCTGTTGCTGCTGCTGCTGATGATGATGATGATGATTACCGCGCCCCGATTCCTCCTCTCTCCTCGTCGCTTTCGCTCTCCTCTCCGCGATCCATCTGCCGTTCGTCTCCGGATTCTTCTTCGTGGCCATCGCCTCGTCGTCCTCTTCGTCGTCGTTTCCTTTCGTCGTGTTCTCTTCCTCGACGATCCTCGTATCCTCCTCCTCCTCCCCATTCTCCTTCTCCTTCTCCTTCTCCACTCGATCTCGATCGATTCCTTGCTTGAAGCTCCCTCCCAACGAGGCAACTTCTGTAACGCTACAACTGCTATTAGTCGCCCCTTGAAAAGCTGTGGTATCATCATCACCGATGGCCGTTATCAAGAGTGATCGATCGTCGCTGGTGGAAAACTCAGGGCCCTGATCGTCGAACGGGCAAGAGGAGGTGGTTGCTACGATGGTGGTTGTGGTGGTGGTGGTGGTGGTGGTGGTATCAGCGGTTCGATAAACGATCGGATTGTCCGAGACGAAATGGCGGTGAGGCAGGTGATCCGCGTTGTTGCCGCCGTGGTCGTCGTCGTCGTCGTCGTCGTTGTTTCGGGAACGCAGTAACGAGGCGAGGTGTTGGGGGGCCAACAGGGACAACGACGATGTCGATGACGATGGGATGAGGCTACAGGTGTCGGATAGAGCGGTACGCACGGGGGTGCTGGTTACGTAGGATCGCGTAGTATGGAAAGTAGCGACAGGCGAGGCTGATGTTGCGTTTACGCACTTTGCCACGTGACCCTCGGCCAGACACTTGGACGCCCGGGCCTCCTGCAGCTCCCGTCTCAGCGCCAGAGTTTCTTCCTCGAACGCGGCGATCTCGCGGCGATCTTCGTTGCTACGTGCCAATCAACACACAATTTCCACCAATGTATTTATATACAGTGTATTTCAGGGCGCGGTGTCTCTCGGGCAGCGCGGTGTGCAATGCAATCTTTTGCCAATTTTCTGCGTGTGGATGTTGTTCGGGTTTGTATTTGGCATGCGGCACCCGAACGCGTGCGAGGTGTAAAAGTGCGGACGGGAGATGATAGAGAGAGGGAGAGAAAGAGAGGAGAGAGAGAGAGAGAGAGAGAGAGAGAAAGCTTGGATGCACTTTTTGCAATGTCGAATCTCGATTGGTTGGATTGGAGAGAACTCGCGAGAGACGGATTATTGGGTGATATTATTGGTTGGTGATTTCGAGCGAGGTTTGTGATACTCGATGGTGAGTAGCTTTTTCAAATGTTGCGGCACGGTTAATGCAAACTTGGAAAAATGCTTGCGTTGTCGTTGCATTGCGTACATATCCGAGGAGGAAAATAGTGAAAGTTATTTTAGCGGTTAGCTTTTTTTCTTGGATGCCGAACAGGTTGCGAAGCATTGACAGGATTAACGCTCTTAATGATTTTTTTTAGCTTGATTGTAGCTGAATGGAATGGTTAAATGTGTGTGTGTGTGTGTGTGTGTATGCGTGTGAGATAGGTATTTTATTTTGAAGAAATCTCGAGAAGAGATGCATGCTATGTTATTGAGAAGATTTAATAATAATTAATAGAGAAAATTAGAGATTTCCTGAATAAGTTGAAAACATATTACGTATTTCTCTAATCGAATGAAAAATAATATGTAAATATGTAAAAAGAAATTTTGTCGATGAAATTGTTTTATTACGAAATTCTATACTCGTTTATTCATAATCGAATAAATCTAAATTCGATAAAAATTCTACGTAGTCCAACTCTAAATCGACAAAAATTACAAAAATTTTTAAAAATTTTAACGTAATAATTTACAAAATTTACAAGTGAATTCAATTCTTGATGCAATACGTGTAAAAAAAAAGAAGAAGAAAAAAAAAGGAATAAAACAATTTGCAACAAAAGAAATGATGAAGAAGTATTATTAAAGTTTGTTACGAGAATGTGCAACGATCATGCAAAGCAATAAATAGGTACTCACTTTGCATTCAGCTTCAGCATAGCCACTTCCTCCTCCAATTTTGCTATTCTTCTGTCGCTTTCCTCTTTTTCTTCCGTTAATTTTATTATTCGATTCTGAAAAGGATCAAAGGAATTATTTACGAATGTAAACGAATTATACGATATATATAATCAAAGTTTTATAATCGAGAAGGATAATTACTAGACTTGGAAGAAAATTCTTTCGAGTCACAAAAGAGAGAGAGAGAGAGAGAGAGAGAAAAAAATGAGGATAAAAATAAAAGATAACAATATCATTCGAGCGCAGATAAGATGGCTCGACTCGTTTCGAAAGAAATCAAACAATTTACATAGCGGGCTGCAATTTTTCACGAGATAACGTTCCACCGACTTGCTAACACTCCGAATAATATAACGAAAAAAATATATTGGATCCACCTTGGTCTCTCACCTCCGATCTTTCTCATTCTCTACGCTTTAAAAAATTTCGAAAAAGAAAAGAAAAAAAATTTAAGCATTTTCCTAATTTCTGTTGGCTTAGTAATGGAAATGAAAATGGCGGCGCGAGACGGAACAGCAACTTTCGATAGGGACGAGAGTACGAGCACTTGGCCCGCGTGAAAACGCGTGGAGAAACGCCGCGAGCAGAGCAGAAATATACATACTGAAAAGTGGAAGGTCCCGGAGGTTCAATTACGAAGATTGGCAACGCGACGCGACGAGGAGAGGCGAGTATGACGCGGATGGCCATCGCTTCGGTTGATGAGGCTAATGGATGGTTGAAACCCGAGAAGGCAGAAGAGGGAAAAAGAGGGGGAGGAAAGAGGCCAAGGGAGAGGCCGTGACAGCCGCTAAGTGCCTCATCCTTCACCCTTCCTCCTCCTCCTCCTCCTCTCTTCCTCGCATAGAAAAATCCTTCCTTCTCTATCCTCCTTCTCTACTCATCCCCCACCTCCCCATAACTGCCACCCTCATGTGAAACCTAATCATTTTTACCAAGCGTCACGGATATTTCGTATTACGTCTACATTAGGTTCTCCGGTATCAGTCTGCCTTTTTATCGAAACCACGCTGCTGCTGCTGCTGCTGCTGCTGCCTTTCGACTCCTCGATGAGATCAATTAGGGGTTGAAGTCGTTTTTTTTTCGTCCCAAATAGATCCAATTAGAATCTAAGTTTTTTTTTCAATCTCGTTTCTTTCGATCTGACGATTTTTAAGAGTAAACCACTTTTTATACGTTTTTTAGTATGTTTCTTTAAGATTGTATGCGTATGTTTCTTTTTCAAGATTTAAGATAGAATATTGTTTCTTCTCTAAATATTTGAGAAATGGGGATTTACTTGGGGCAATCTTCGATCCCCTTTCTACAAGATAATCGAAAACTAATTAAACTAATTAAAAGAATATAAATTTTGATTCTTGAACGTGAAGAAGAATAATTAAATATTCTTTATCAGGAATAACGATCGACGTTTTGGCTAGTTTCAATGGAAAAATCCATATTCACAACAAATTTCTGTGAAAAATTTCTCCAGCACAAACAATTGATTAAAATACTGAAATTATTCCCATTGAATCCATTATTGGATATGAATATGAATGTGTTCCATATATTCCTTTCTATTATATAGTCGATACATATTAGGAAAAACAAGGAAGCTTGTATTTAAATAGCGCTGTATAAAAATTCCAATGTAAACGTACATAAATAATCGAAGAGAAAAAGAGAGGGATCGAGAAACGCGTACAGTGAAAAGAATTTGATCGATGAAAATTCGCGCACAGACGATAATCGAGAAAGGGAAATTGTAAGAAAGGAAAAATGGGGGTAGAGGAAAAGGGAGAAGCGCGTATCACCTGGCCGTCCTAATCAAACAGAACGTACGAATGCTACGCAAACAATATGTCCATGACCATGCCAGTGGAAATGCCGAAAGCGTTGGTCGGAGCGGCACATTACTGTAGCCTAGCTGCAAAGTCGGGAGAGAATGAGAAAAAGTGGATTCTTTCTTTCTCTCTTTTCTGTCTCTCTATACGTTTTGTTTTCACTTCCCACGTTTTCTATCTGCCGAACTTTTACGCTTCGAACTTCCTGCCTCTTTTCCACTAAATGAATTTTTTCTACAAACCTATACGACTAATCGTGAAAACTGATATAGCGATGACACATTCTGCTCACTTGTGGAAAACTTTTATGTCGCTCAATAACTGTTATGAATCAGTGTTTAATAACAATAACGATGTAAATCATTGAATGTATTGAATGTAAATTGTTTGGAATAGCATTTGTCTTTTTTTTTTTTTTTTTTTTTTTTTTT